CTTTTTTTTGTTCTACACCCCACTCTTACCATGGTATTGTTCGACCTTGAGTGAGATGCTGTCAGGCGCTTTTTAGAACATAAGCGTTGCAGTTTCCCATAATCCACTGGGAGCGCTGAGGTGAGAGCTGTGGCCCAGTAGCACTCTGAGTGGCTGGCAGCGGATCAAAAGCAAACGAGGTTCCTGAGCTCATTCCAATTATAACAGCACACACTATCAACTACAAATACAAACAGCACGTAAGTGATAGTGCTGGTGGCCTGGAGGACTGCTGCCAGAGAGCAGGCAGCATGCTAATCAGGATACCTCTTGCCATGGGCTATTTAGGGAATAGCCTCTCATCCCACCAATTCCCCATGCCTTAGCCAGGGAAACGAAAAAAGGAAAGGGGAGTGAATTCCCTGAGTGCACAATCCAAGGACAAAATATTAGAAAATGGATCTTTATCTTTGCTCTTGGCCAATATCCATATTAATTGCAAAAAAAAACAAATGCATATGAACTGAATAAAATATAAAGAGATTTGTCAAACACATACGGCTACAACTTATGACCATCGTATAATTACCCATGACCATCTTATGATGTTTTGCCAAACAAAAGTGAAATAAGAAGAATTTAATTTACGCTTTTGTTGACTTCACTACGTTGGCACCACAAACTCTACCCTATGGTTTAACCTTTGCAAACAACAACTTCACACTGTTTGTTGCAATTAGTCTGATTGTTCATAACAGCGTCTACCCAAGCAGTCTGCCATTGTAGTCAGCCAATCCGGGAGAGTGATTTATATCCGGTCAACCGTTGTGCATTGGGTAAAAGGAAGTGAGAGGTTTATAGCGGTTCTGCGGTAACGTGTGTGCTCCCCCACTCTCACGGACAACCCCTCAGAGCTTGGCAAGTCTCCAGAGCCATGCAGGGGCAGCGGAGTACAGCGGGAGCCAGAGTGAGAAGCACACATTGTGCTCGGCGGGACCCCACCAGCCCCGGCCCGAAGGCACAACTCTCAAGGACATGGAGAACTGGGGCAGAGAACTTCCAAGCTTCCCACTGTTAGGGCAGGCCGAGGAAAAAATAAAAAGGGAGGGAAAGTTTCCAAAGTGTCTCTTGTCTGTGTGAGCGTGAAGCTGGTGAAATGTGTTATAATGAGGATTCTCCTCATCAGTAATACTGCAAATTGTTCTTAAACATAGAACAGCTCTCCTTCATCCAGAACATCAATGTGGTTTAGAGGTGAAATAAAATAAGTAAATTCATACATTCTTCTGCCAAAAGAAGGAGAGCAGGGGTCGTAAGGGGTGACGCATCACACATCTGGGTGCACTCAGGGAGACGTGGTTAAAATGAGGGAATAACAACAAGCTGGTCTTTACTAATACCGTGTTTGTGCATGTAGATGTGGCCATGTTTGTGTTTCTATCTGTGTGTATCCAGACTCTGATCTCTTTGTCAAATATAATTACTGATTACACCCATTTGAATCCGTGGCTCACAGAGCCTCCTGGTGTGTTGTCAGGTTTTTCAGACAAATAAAAATGTGATCTCCAAATGAGAAAATGCATTTTACTGCTGTGCTGAAGAGTTGTGGCACATGATATTTCAAATGAGAGGATAAATCAATGAATATTTACTGTTTTCAGTGTGAGAGTGTGCATGGAAGTTAGAAGAGTTCTGGATATATCAGTGAAATACGCTGGAAAATTCAGTTTTTTGACATAACAGTGCACAAAAGAGGCAAAGAGGCAGCATCTTTGACACGACTGGAACAAGCAGCTCTTTCCCTCATTGTCCTTCCAGTCAGGAGCTCAGGTTTACTGCAGGTCAGCCCCCTCTCTCTCTACATCAGGGGGAAGGAACCACACTGATCCGAGATGGAGTACCCCCAACCAAACCTGACCACATCGACCCATGCCACCATCCTGGGCCTCTAATGGAAGTCCTGGGCATCCAGACGCCTCCCCCACTCCGACATAGGCGTCAAGTAGCGCTCTACTCATCATTGGAAGCAGCGGGTCTCGCAGTCCTCCTTTTCTCTCCCTGGGACTGGCTTTTTGGGAACATTGCAGGCAGATGCGTCCAGATGAGCACGTTCTAATTTGCGGGCCCAGGTTAATGCTCTGCCAGAGGCCCCGGAGGATCAATAGCTTTATTTCCCTAAAACACTGGCATGGTGAGAACCAGCTCACGGGGTGCTTTTAATACTGCCACAGCTCCAGCAATGACTGGGCTGTATTGATCGTGCCCATGTGGAACTACGTGCGCCTTCTGGGGAAGGATCTATTTGTGTCACCCTGGGCTGGGATGGGGGCTCCACTGGAGGAGCGGAGAGCTCAGCCAATGGAGGATGCCAAAAACATCAAAACAGCCATGTTTACAGATTACCCAAAGGGAAAGCAAATTACAGCAATTATGCAGGCTGTGGGAATACTGATATCAGCATACCTGCTATTTCACCCAGAGACTACTTTTATGAGGCTAGAACACATACAAAACAGCACACTCAATTTGATTTGATGGCTAAACCCTCAACAAACGATGGGATTTAAACAAAGCACTGCGCTTCAGATGCATGCAAAACAATGTCTTTCCAGGGGATCACCCTGTTTGTGGATTTCACATGCAAAAAGTGTTGCTTTTAAACTAGATGTAATAGCTTTTACAAAGATCTGGGAGGTGAGCATGTAGTGATGAACACGTAATGTTGATCATCATCTCTACACTAGCTTTAGCTTCTTATTTTTTTTCCTTACCAAACAATGGCAATTAATCATTCTTTGTAAACACTGCAAATTGCTTTACAGAAAACTCATTTACCCCTATAGCATTTATCTCATATATCAGCACAGAGACAACATACAGAGTCTTATCCAAATCACAGGCCTTTGTTTGCAGCTGTCGTGACATATTCATGACTGGGGCCATAATAGTCAGATTCCTGTTATATCCCCCGGGGAGAGCAGAGAGAATAGTGTCACATCCAATTACTGCAGCACACTGTGGAGGTAAATCAAAACTCATGCCATGAACTCTGGAATCTGCCGTTTGTGCACACAAACACACATGCATGCATGCACACACAAATACATGCTGCATAAGGAAAGCGAGACAATAGTAATATCAACATTGATGGAATATTGGAAAACACATTCTCCTGGTAACTCAGGGTCATGTATGGATTACACAGGGAAATGGGATTGGCTGGAGGCCGTTGGCTGGCGTCTCCTCAAAACATAAATTGACATACAAAAGCGAGGCACACAGCACTTACTCAAGATTTTTTACAATTATGGATTTGTTCACCGGCTGGCGTGCAGATATTGAAATAGCAGATGAGGTGTGATGATGGTGCCCTTTTTATTGGAGGAGAAACAATCGGGTCACCAGGTTCACAGACTCCTTCTCCCCAGCACCAATAAGATGATTTTCTGCACGGTGAAATTAATGCCTTTGTCTCTTCCTCCACAGCAGTCTCTGGAAGGGCCTGGTGGTTTGGTGGTTGGAGGGTATCTCGGCAGTGCATAGCCCCGTTTCACCCTGGAGCGGTGCAAAGCTCCTGCCCAATAAAACAGGCTGCATCCCCAGGGCCCCTCCCTCAAGCCTCCAGTCAGCGCTTGTTTTTGCACCATTTATTTAGTGTGACACATCTCCAATTAAACTGTGGAGGCTGCTGCATTCCCCCCATAACTACCTCTTATACCTCCCCATAGACTTTCTGTCACACTGAGAGTGTGGGTATGAGAGAGTGAAAGGGAGAGTTAGTGAGAGAGAGATAGAGCAAGTGAGAGAGAGAGGGAGAGAGATCACATCTTGCCTGCCAGCTATGATCACAATGTCATTTTCCCCTCCGTGCTTAGGAGCCTCCTGTGAAAGGTGCCCTGAATTATAATTATCAAAATATTGAAAAAGATAATCATCCTCTTAAATGATGCTGCCACTTTTTCACACTATCCTACAACAAGCATGGAGTGATGCTCTCCTGTAAGCTTTACTTGATAACTCATTTAGAACTGCACAGCGAAACACATCTTTTTTTTCTAAGACTGCACTTTGTGATGTTGACCTACTCAAATGAATCATTCTCAACTAACACCAGATGTACTTATCCTCTGCCTTCACTCCCACATTTGTGCTCATCCCTTTAAATTCACAAGCGTTTAAAGGAGATCTTACATAGGAGGTAAGAGTCTCCTTGCCACCTCTTCATCCTCCCCCAACGGCCCCAGACACAGTCACAGGAGGAGTGACTTTGTCCGACCCCAATACCGTCTGCGAGAGCACAGCTGAGGGCAGCAGCTGCCAGGGAGGACTGGTGGGGGAGCGCCCAAAACGCAGGCTCTGCCAAGCGGAGGGGCCGGGGGGAGCCCCAGTGGCAGCTGGGAAGGGTGGGGCGGCCAGCTGTGGAGCAGCAGGATGGGGTGACTAGGAGATGCCACTAAAACTGAGCAGTATCACACAAAATGCACACAAACACATTTTTATACATAGGTGCACTCGTAAAGTGTTCACACTTCCCATCTTTCCTTTAAGGACTTGTGCTGCACTCGCCCACATTCAGACACACAAACACTCATCACTGGCACAGAGGCAGCCCCAGCAGCCTGTGGCCCTCTTAACACCAGCACCGCTCTCCCATCACATGCTTCGGCCACACATCTGGCGTGCCATCTGTATCACTCCCCCCAATGTGACAGGTAGTCCCTCTCCCTCTCTGGAGGGAGCAGAGAGGGAGAGAGGGACAGGGAGGGTAATTTTGGGTGTAAATGTGCTCTGGACCTCTCTGGATGCATCTGGACAAAGCAGAAGTGCTTCCGAGCCAGACAGGGTCGTTATCAGTCGGACACTCGCCGCCACATAGCAGACGAGGACAAAACAATTATATCATACTGTCACATTCTGACAGCACCAATAGTGCACATCATGTTTGTGCTGTCGTCAGGACGTATGATTCTATTCTGCATCTCAATTGAAAGGTCAATTGCTACAAATAACACAAGTCAAAATATATTAAAGATTCTTCCAATTTATTTTAATGTACAGTTATACATTGCCATGACACAAATGTGACCACCACTTGGATGAATTGAGAATGGAAAATATTAAAACAGCCATATATAAACAATACCCAGAGGACGTGGGATTCCTCTTCTTTCTGCTGATGTACATATGGGATTGATAAAGTATGCACCGTAAAACAGATATCAAGCCAGTGATATAAAACTGCACCAGTCTTTACTGTGAAATTAAGGAATCCATTTCAGAACATTATTTTCACATCTTATGTTACATATTTGACAGTAACAATCTTTATTATTCACACACAACACTATTCGAATGACATCAACTTAGACATTTATTAAAAAAAAGGGGGAGGGGGGGGTTCCAGCATCGTCAAAACTGACAAAATAATCTACTCGTCGGAAATATTTATTAAACCGATTTGCAGTCAATGGACAAGACTGAGGTGCTTGTAGAGAAGAAAAAAGGCTCCATAGAGAATTACTTTACATTTTGCAGTGAGATCTGCTACATATCACCTCTTTGAACACATAGATGCAGCATTGATTAATGCGTCAGGTAATTTGGTTGGAAAAAACTATTCATGATCCAAATTTCATTTATATTTTTAAAAAAAACCAACCGAAAAACAAACAATATAGCAACTGTCACATGTTTAATACTTCTTAATACCAGGTGCACTGTTGGTGTTTGGCCATTTTTACAGATTTTCTTTTACAGTGTCCATGTCATTGATTTATCAGATCCAATTCAACACAACAGAGAAATAAAAAAACAAACAATGTGCTGGATGGGATCATCATTTTAAGATCATAAAAAACACTGACACATACACTTGATGAAATAAACAACACAGCTTTAGTACTAGTTTCTGATGTCTTATACAAAGTTAGCTTGGTCTAAAAAGCATAAAATATATTTTTACATCATCACATACATCAAGACATGTACCATGGCCTAGCGGGAAGTTTGTCCGGTGCATTATTTCGTATGTTAAGCCCCCACACGGTTCTCTACTGCTGGCATTATTGCTTCTTATGAACGTGGAGCTGAACAATAGAGAAACAATGCACCACAGTAGATTGAAACTGTACATTTAAATCTCTGATATCCCAAAAAAAGAATTTTGTTAGCTCGTTTCACAATCTGCAATGCTGAAGGATAAGGCAGTTCCATTTTTTAAGGCATTGCTGCTTTGAGACATACTGGAACAGAGGGAGAGTCACAGACTTTGACACTGATCAAGTCCATGTACATGATCAACAGAATACATAATACAGGCAAAGGATGAGAGCCTAAAGAGAGGGGGGCAAACGTATCTTGTGTTTTCGAGTTTTGTATGTTCATGTCTGAGAGAATCTCAGTGAGCTGCAACAATCTTTAAAGTCTGCTGAGCGATTGACCGGAAGTCAAAGCTCAGACAGAGATTAGAGCAGAGCTGTGTGGGTTGCTGTGACCTTCTCTCATTGCTGGTAATTTCCGTACTGGCCCTGTGGGGAGAAATGTGACAGACAGATGTTACTCAAAGTAAAAGCACAAAGTAAACACTTCTAGTCACAAATCTCAATGGGGGTGCAAAAAAAACCTATACTGCAAACCATGATTTATGGTGCATTGGCTGGTGTTGACCAGCAGGTGGCAGTATGGCCTCAACTTGTGAGCTCTATGGTCTAAGTTGACACCTCAGGATTCAGCTGCAGTATGGCAGAGGACAATTTTCCTCAGTCAATAGAGGATACTAAGTTCAAGTGAGACAAGTTCATGTATTGAATGCATTTCTAAACAGGGGTCGAAGTATGCGTTTGGAATTAATGGCAAATACATAGGGAACAAATTTGGGAACATTTTCATAAACATGACATCATAATGTGAATATCAATCATTTGAAAGTTTTAAAATGAGCAAAAAGTCATTAAAACCAGTGTTGTAAAGAGACACAGTCAAAGCAGCTAAGCGTTGGCCGTCTCACTGCAGATAATAAAGCATGCTGTGTTTCTGGACCTCATGACTTACAATTCGACCCCTGGTTAATAACAAATCAAAAAGAGAAAAACCAAATAAAGACAGAAAAGAAAAAACGTTGAGGGAAAAAAAAGAGAAAGATGGAAGAAGGATAGAGACAAAATAGACAGAGGAAACATAACAAATGCAAATTAAGGCTAGGTGGTCAAACGTCTAGATTGGACGTTGAGGTCTTCACAGCAACCATTACCTTTGCTTCTTATAGAGCTAGTCAGGGGTTCAAATCCCCGGGTCTTTATTTCCTCATGTGCCCCTGAATATTCAAAGATAAAGATATCAAAGAGTAGCTGTGGTCCCCACATGAGACCACAGGAAATACAGGGCAACAAATAGGTCTCCTCTTAAACACTAGAGCAGTCTGCATCACGTTTAAGGAAGAATCCTCTTACAGCCCTCATATTTCACTGGTATGGCATACCACATTAGCCAGGATATGACTCAGGTTAACAAGTGACACATACACCCTACAGTAACACATACACTCTTGATGGGAAGAACAGCAATTACCCCCCAATTTGATGACAGCATGCACAACATACTACCTTTAAATGTTTACCTTCTAACTCCACTCATGTTGATGTCTCACTGAGAATTACACAACATATACAACTTATTCTGGCAATAAACATCATGAAAGGGACAAACTAAGACCGATGTACAGACAAGTCTCTGTGACTGTCCAGTATTGTGGGTGTACTCACTTGGTCATAACCGTAAGGGCGTTGCTGCTGGCCCTGTGGGGGTCCAGGTTGAGGAGGGCGATAGCCCCCATACTGCTGTCCCTGCCCCTGAGGATAGTTGGGATACTGCCCGGGGGCACTTTGGGAAGGACCTGTGACAAACAGAGAGAATTCAGTTTAAAATTATGTATGCTTATAGCTTTGAGTAAACTTAAATTTGAAAATGACAGTCAATTCAAACTCTGCACCAGGGTTCCAAATTGTCCTCATGAGCTGCACATGAGTTCTGTTCTCACTGGGAATTTTCTTTAGAATTTAAGAACAGTTTGTCTAAAACCAAAAATGCTTCCTTTAGACCTCAGAGCCACTGAAAAAGTCAGTTCCAGTTTGAATATAGAAGGGTTTGTATTAGAGTGGAGCTCATGCTGTATTTTCCTGTCTGAACCAAACTGACCTGACCGAGAGTCTGACCTGACCGAGACAGGCATTCTGTATTTTGTGTACTTCGGAACCTGACCCAAACCCAATGTCTGTGTTGCCCAGTCCCTGACATGCATGGTTATTGCTTGTGTGCAGCAAAAAAATATATACTTTCATAGTTTTTGCAAACCTGTGCTGGACCGATGGGTTACGATAGGCTCAGGTCAGGTATCAACACTCTAGTTTGCATTAAGTCATAAAACTATTTTTCACTTGAGCAGAAGGATTATTCTTGTGTACATGTAAGAACCCAGCGTGAAAATGATCAAAGTTTGGCTCATTAATCACGTCCATTTACTCTGGGAACTATCAGGAATTCCTGTTAGTCTACTCGGCTGGAATAAAAACAGCTGATGGATAGCGGATATGTCTGACCCATTCGTTTAAGGTGCCTCTTAACAACGCCTGACTCAGTAATGAATGAGTGAGTCAGGTTAGAGAGTCAGGCGGCCATTCCGTAATGCGAGGAGACATCAAGGTGATGCTGTTGGTTTTCATTAGAGGAGCAGGCTTCATTAAAAAAGAAAAAAATCTTTTCATCAGCCTCCATAAACTTTAGTTATCTCTACCGACACTGTGAAAAAGTGGGCAAAGCCTGACTGGGGCTGGAGTCAAATGAGGCCCACGCTGCATTGTTATGTGCTCATAATAACTTATACTGTGGAGCATGAGCTTGTGGGGACCTGCAGGAGAAAGCATTTGTGTTTGCCAGATGGAACTCACCTCACAGCCGCTGCCTCTCTGCTAGCTCATTACTGACATGAGCCCTGGCTCAGACAGTGGGAGAGCGATGGAAAGTTTCAGTGAAAAATAGAATGTGGGGAATAGAAAAAGCCTTGAGAGCTGCGAGAATTGTACTCAAAGTGCAGACTTTCTACACTTAATTAATTGTGGTTAAATGTGGTATAATCTCAACGCCAAGAACGGGAGTGGACAAGGGACTAGAAAACTTACTCAAGTAACATTACTGTTACTCAGAAGAAATGTTTACTTATATAGATGTAGATTGTGTTAAAAATACATTATGTTGAAATTTAAATGCTTCCCAGGTGAGAGCTCGCAGAAAGCGACACCTAAATTCCATTTAGACACTTTGCAACCTGTGCATGGAACGAATAATTGATAATAAAAAGTCTATGGATGCCACTGCAGACGTAGATTTTATGCAATATTAATTTACATGACTCAAACTGCCTCACACAGAAATAACAGATATATATACAACATTAACTCCACAGCAGCAGCCAACAAAGGCAGACAAGGCCCTGCGTTGCTAGGCAACACAGTAGTTAGTGATGCTCTCCTTTGTACAGTGAGTTAACAGTCAAATATTTGTTCATTCAGTCATTGTTTACTAAAATTTGAGCTTGCATTTTCTTTCATAAGTTCTGACGACTTAATGTCTTAAAATGAACTAAACAATTAAAAAAAGGTTAAGAGCTAAGCCATTAAATAAAAATCTATTAAGTCCAAAAAATGTTTGGCTGGCAAGTGACATACCCAGTTTCTGTGCCCATCAGCCAGAGATTCTCTCCCACTCCCTCGGAACAGTGTCTCATATCAAACTAAATTGCCAAGAGAAATGCGATTGTGGTACAAGTTGCCACAACTGATTAAATTCCTCTTCCACCAAGCTCCAATCCCCAAACCGTTCATCAAGAGCAGGGAGTTTAAGGAGCACCTTACGATGTCTTGACAGGCATTTGGCAAAGTTACATTTACGAGCGGCAGTAGCCACCAACTCACAGAGGAGGAATTATTGTTCACCAGTCAAGAAGATGACTCAAGAGAGAATATGATGCCTCCTTCAGGACTAATATGTGGCCCAGTTTGATTTGGTAACTCACCGTAAGCCTGCTGCTGTGGTGGGTAGCCCTGCTGACCTGGGTATTGCTGCTGGGGAGGGTAGCCCTGCTGCTGAGGAGGGCCTTGCTGGTATGCTTCTTGTTGTTGGCCATACTGGGCATTACCTTCAGGGGGCGACACGGGCAAAGTGAGCAACATGTTGATGTCAACAGCAAATCACAAAGGTAGACTCTGAATGAAGATTTGTTTTCTAGGGGTTTCCAATATACTCAAATGTATTGTGGCTTGTTCTAATGGAATGTAGTAAGTAAACGAGAGAAATGCACTAACATCGACTACAAATTGAGATTATTTTTAAGATGCCGGCATTAGACTTGCTTTGGTGTTTCACTCCTCTCACCGTCTCCTATTGCTCTCTCTTACTCACAGAAAAATCACATGCATACATCTCACACACCCGCCCACCCATTCCCACCACTCTCCAGGGCAAGTGTGTGATGCATGTCGATGAGACCAGTGCGTTTATACCTGGAGGGAACAGGGAAAGGGCCTAGAGTGTGAAAGGAGTGAAACGCCAAACCAAGTTTATACATGTTGAGTACTGGATCCATCATATTAGAACTGTATGTGTATCTGCAAAACCATTGTAACAAAGGGAAGCAGTACCGCAAAATGTTCCACAACAATGACTGAATTTTCTTTATTTCACATAAAAGGAAACATTGGTGTTTAAAAAGGTCAAAAGAGAAATAGTTTGGTCAGTAAAGGAAAAAAACAAACAACATAAAGTAAATGTTAATTGGACAAAGAAAGAAAAAGGAGTTGTTTAATATGAATCTTAATATCACACCAAGATAGAGAAAATAGGCTGAATGTCAACCATTAGAGAATAATGCAGCGGTAGCATATTTCTGGGAAAAAAAGTTGGGGAGATTTGTTAGTCACTAGTACTGCTCTTCTGCAAATCATATGAATTACTTATTTTAGTGTGTGAATAAAATCTGTATTTACAAATAATGGCAGTCTGCTTCATGTAGGTAATTAATTCACTAATTACCTACTACTCCAAACAACTAGTTGTTAAGGCATCACATGTGGCTATCTGAAGGGTGAGCATCTTAACCTTATACAAGTTCGGTGCAGTTTTGATGACGAAGACTCACACAACTCCCTGACTTTTCTCAGGTAAGCCCACGGGTAGAGCACCAGTCACGACGGGGGGGATGTCATTATAAAACAGGGTGCTACCTTAATGTCGGACTGCAGCACCTTTTGGACGAGGGTGCATTCTGGCACGTGGAAGTTGACTCACAATTAGGTACCACATTTTTCTCTTTGTTAGAGCCCAGAGTCACTTTGATTCCCCAGAACATAATGAAGAAACTGAAGCTTTGCATCCGTCGCAGTCTCTTTGCATCATTTGTGTCTTAACACAACTCCTGGGTTCATTTTTTTTGTTTTGTTGGTTTTCTCCAAGTGACCGGAGGGTTCTCCTACCTTCTGAGGCTCCCTGTCCTGCGTGACTGTACTGGTCTCCATAGTAGTCTTCCTGCCCTGGGTACTGCTGAGGGGGTCCTACATACACATACACACAACATACACACAAGTAGATTCAAGGTGTTGTTGGATTGGTTGTGTGGGGGGAGGAGCAGAGAGGATGGATTCCTTGCTGCTAGTTTTCGCTAGAAAGCTTTCCTTTGGTCACTGGGCTAATTTTTTTTTTTTTTTTTTAATCGGAGGCTTTAGATTACATCTTAAGTCATCAAGATGTCTGTGGGCTACAGAAGTGGAAATAAAGGAAATTGAGAGGAACAATAGTAAGAAATGCAGAAGGGAGGGTTAGGGAGAAGGAAAAACCAACACTCACAACTTGCACACTTGACAGACACACTGACGGGTATACCTTGCTGAGGAGGTCTGTAGGGCGGCATTGGCCTCTGCCCCATGACATGGTTGCCCTGGTTGACCTGACCCATCATGCCCATAGGGTTCTGTTGTCCTTGGTAGTGCTGCCCACCACCACCAGGAGGCATGTTATACTGCTGGGAGGGAGGCTGCTGGTGCATCATGGGGCCTGAAGTATACCCAAAAAGAGTTTACTCTCACACTGTACAATAAAGTGTTAATTTTCATTAATAACAACTGTGAAGGAAAATATCTGTTTACAACCTTTTGTTGTGTCTAAAAGTAAAAAAAAGTAACTTGAACGTATTACAAGACACATATTTTTCATCAACACATAGAAACAATAATGTTTAAGACAAACAAATGGACATGTTTTAATGCAAAGTCTTATTCAACAATGTGCAGGCAACTGCAAGAGCAAGTGCTAAATCTCCTGATGATTTAAAACCTTGCAAAAATGCATGTTTGTCAGTAATGCTACCTGATAAGAAACTGATTTATGGATTAATTAATCCACAATTCACTAAAATAAGACAAAAAGGAACAACAAAATAAACTTAAAAACTTGCAGGCGACACACTAACATTGATAAAACGTCAAGCTAATATATAATCATGAGTATCACGTGCTGTAGATGTGGAGGTAACATTAGCATAACTTTTATTCAGCTGTCTTTAGTGTTATCAGTTCAACGGCCCATCCTAAATGGTCCCCTAGATGTTTGCTAAACAAAGTTCACAGTATTGATGCAATGATATAAAATCTCTGTGTTTTACTGAACAGCTGAGAGAATCAACAGCTGGCCTCACTACATAAGCAGGAACAACTGTACTGGATTAGAGAGAGATGCTGTGTTCAAACAAACACAGTTTGGAAATGCTTACTGGATTTACTGGGGGAGTCAGTCTGTATTACTACAGAGAAACAAAAGAGACACCTGTAACCATGGTAACTGTACACAAAGATGGCGAAAGCTATACTCCAAAGATTGAACGACTAAAATTTGACTAAAACTAATACACATTTTCATCAGAAAACTGAAACTAAACCAAAACCAATTACTAAAATTACATTATTTAACAGTACAACACAGAATACACATACTGTACAAGCAGTATATGGTTTCTCAAATGCAGGTGATGATGTGCCACTACGCCAGAAAAACACATAAGGTATTGGAAATCAATAAAACCGAGAGCAAACTAAAAACGGAGCAATATTACCTTGATTGGGCTGCATGTTCATGTTTGGCCGTGGACCATAGTTTCCCATGGGTTGGCCCTGGGTCATGTTCATTTGGCTCTGAGCTGGTATGCCCTGAGAAGAGGGGACGGTGTGATTGTAACCACCCATCGAGCCATGACTGCTAGGGGGCATATTCATAGAGCCACTGGGCATGTTTGGGGGCTGGTTAGGACCTGGACCTTGCATGGGCATGTGATTAGGCCCTGGAAAACAACAAGGATGATTCATGAAAATACAGTTACATTATTAAGTACACATCGGGCTGGGTGACAAAACAATAGTTTAATGATATATAATAATAATAATAATATAATAATACATATATCTTTTCATCAGTTCACGGTTCCAAAAATAAACTAGTTCACGTTCAATTGTTCCAGTTTTTTGGGGGGATGACCATGCTGGTCTGTAGAGACGTCATGTAGCATTTGGTAAAACAGTGTTGTAAAACGTGAGAGATGACCCGCTGATTCGTTTGGCGCTCACCAAAATATGAAAACGATCATGGGTAATACGCATGAGTGCAGTGGAGCTGATTGGATTTTTTCCATTTCGCCCAGCCCCTGTACACACAATTATAATGACGTTGAATTGCCATGATGTTGTGGTAATAGAAGCGCAGTGGACTGTAGTGCTCACTGTGATGACTTGTTGGAAGTTCAGGATTTATCTGGCTACAAGTAACTGTAATTAATTGCCTGAGTCTGTCCAAGCAGTTTATTTGGGTTTTCATCAATTTCTATCTTGCAATATATAAAGATGATCCATCCACAAAAACAACGAACATCTTTGGTTGTCAAAGTTTTATATAACAAAATGCCATATAACACTCCAAATTGGCAGTGAACTAGTATTACTAAAATAATCAGAAGATATCAAGCTCAGTTACATTTCTTTGCCATTTTGCATACAAGTCGGTTGTTAGGTTAAAATTTAAAAAAATAGAAAAAAGTTAATACCATTGGAAAAACAACATTTAGTGGACATTATTAAATATTACATTTGCAAACCAATCTAAACAAAGCAAACATGAAAATAAACAATGTTACTAAAGCAGAGAGCATATTCAAATGGAGAACAAGTCTAAGACCACCAGAGCTGGCAAATGGGTGACATCATCCTTCAGCAAAGCAACCTCCCTCACATTTCTGTGGTGTTGCTAGGCAACCCAAGTGAGACAGGCACTGAGGGAGAAGAAGGGGAAAGAGAAAAGAAAGACAGAGGAGGGAGGGAAGTTTGTTGGGTGGGGGGTTGGTTACTTACCAGGCATCTGTCCATTCATCTGGCTCTGCATGTGTGGGGCTGGAGGGCCACCGCTGACCATACCCTCAGAGGGCATGGTGTGACCATGAGGAGGCTGGGGGGGAGGTCCACTTTGGTTCATCCCACCAGGGCCCATGGGCATGTTTTGAGTGGGTGGCTGCAAGCGCAATACACAGACACAAAAACACACATCAGCTGGCTATAAACAAATCTGAGCCTGTCACTCAGGAGAAAATAAGGCAGATAAACGCCAAAATCTCTGTACAAAACTATTTAATTCAGCACAGTTGTAATGTAGCCTTATCAATCAAGGACAACAACCATTTTGAAGGATTCCGCATGTGTAAATGAGGGCTATAGATAGACATGTAATACAATAAATAGCCACATGCTTACTGAATAAAGTCTGCTCATTTAAGTCATTAATAACTTCAAATGTTTTTAAATGGAATGCCTTTAAGAGTCAAGAAACAAATATTTAAAAAGCTGAACAAAGAATTAATCCAGAGGTAAAAGTGATTTCAATCTGGGCTGTTGCAGGTTAATGTGATGTGATAAAATATGAGGTGGTGATACCTTCCATACAGCTGTGGGGCTTCAAAGAGAAAAGGCTGAGAAACTAAGACTTTAAGCATTAAGTCTTGATCAGGCTCCATTGGACTGACCATTTTCCTTCAAGCGATGACTAGAAAATCTTATCTTAATGTTAAAATGGAATTTACTCAAATTTAAGGATGAACTTCGATTTTGTTCAATTACACACAGCATTTGATATCAAATCATCATTTGTAGAACTTGTTTTAGTTTATTATTTAATGTAATTGTTTTGACCCATTTGCATCATCCTTATTTTTAAGGTAAATCCTTTAATAGTCCCACAATGGGGAAATGTGCAATATTACGGCAGCAAGAGTCAAAATAATCATCAGTAAGAAATAAGTAACATGCAATATTCAAGTGAAAGGAATATAAAACATTTAGAGAAATATGAATTGAATTACAACTAATGAATACAGTGTAAAAAAAAAATGAACGGATGCACATGAACCTTAAAAACTAAAATCCTAGCTGAGGTCGTTTCCCTGAACTAATACGTTGTGAGATGTGTTGTACATGATCTTAACCTTAACCACCTCATTAGGAACAGAGGTCACTCTGGTGTTTACTCTTCAGTCACTGGAAACAATCAGCATGGACCAATACTCACAGCGGGGAGGAGAGACTGCATGTTTTGATTGGAGTCTGCTATCGTGGCGAGGTACACTAAATTTCTGTGCAACATCTGTTGATACCTGGAGGAGGAGAACCATCGATATGAATATGATTTACGTCCACGTGAGCTTACAAATTCAGTGATGCGTGGGAAACAACTTACTGTGAACACTCTGCTGTTTTGCCTTTACTCTGGAAGTCCATTATACACTGGATCAGATGGTTGTTCTCGTCGAGTAGCTGCGACAGTAAAAGCAGAAGATTTATCTCACGTTTATGTTTTGAGGTAAAATGACCCACTCTGAATAAATGTGTATATAAAGTCCTTTTGTTGGTGATGGTTATTCTGCTGTAGATTGAAAACAACGGGGGTGATGGAGAGGGGGGGGGCGTTTTTGTTAAATATGAGTGTGCATTTCTAGCTAACAAAAGACGCGTCTTGCTAGCTTAGCTGTGCCCAGCTAACAAAACCGCAGGCCTCCAGGTCATTTTGGAGAATATGTGCGCGCCGGTCCGGTGAATCGACTGGAGACACATAGCGAGCACATGGCGTCCTGCCTCCGGAGATGTTCATATTCACCGCGCTTTGACCCCTGCAACATTTTCCCCGAGCTGTTCACGGTCGGACTGCCACTGCTACGTTCATTAGCTCCGCGGCTAGCAGCGCATCGTAGCCTCCATTCTGCGACGCGCTAAAAAAAAAAAAAGATGAATTACCTTTTGTATTCCCGCGGGTGTTATGTCGCCTTTCCCACGCTGCCTGTGAGGTGCGAACGCCACCGACATGGTGATATCGTAAGAAAGCAGCGTTAGCTAAAACATAAAAGTGTGAAGAAGCTAACACACTTAACAAACCTGGGGAACTCAGACTAGGCAGAATAGGATGCTATTTCATAATGCAGGGGGCCAATCCGGGGGGGGATGCGGCGCATTGGAACATCTAATTTAAGCCTACTGTGAATTTTGACAGCACGGAAATAAATTGAATTCATATGCACTTTGTTAGAATCCTTATTTTGCTTTAAATATCCGTAAATATGATTTAAAAGTCATTATTTTAACCAAATTGAATTGCAAGTACCCCCGTTTTTCATATAGTGGAACAATCTAGGTCTCGTCCGAAAGGCCACGGGAAATGGACCGCTCAACAAAAAAAGACGAAACTGAGATTTTATATATTTGATATTTATTTTTTAAAATATATTATTTTTCTTGGCATCTGCTTCAAGAAAATACTAGTTGATAAGAATATTTACTACTCCTGATTTTACGTGTTTAAAAGCCAACATCTCACTGAATAAACTAGGTAAAATAAATAAATATTGTTTGGGAATATTTATTGTATTTTGCTTTATCATTTTTAAAACAAGTCATTATCTTGCAGAGCAGTGACTCAATTTAAGATGATTAAAAAAAACCCTGATATTTAAAAACTTTCGTCTGGCTTTTGGTATCGCCCGAGTTCAGAGGTCTCGCGCATGCGCAGTTTCCAGCACACTGCTGCACACTGAGCGGCTTGTTGCTAACTAGCTGAATCATTTCTGTGTCAGTCTCCCTCTTCTCGTTTGATTGTACGTGTCTTGCGGTGCAATGGCGGCAAGATACGACAGAGCTATCACTGTCTTCTCTCCAGACGGCCACCTCTTCCAAGTGGAGTACGCACAAGAAGCCGTAAAAAAGGGCTCCACTGCGGTAAGTCCTCAAAATGAAACTAATGCTAACGTTAGCAAGCGGTACTTAGCTTACCAGCCAAGCTAGCTAGTAGCAGGTACTCGTGTGTTAAGCTAGTTTCTTTATTTCAAACAATGTGTTACGCTCAAGTGTTCTGATTTGTTCAATATAAATCTCACTGTGATGTCAGTCTATCACTTCAACATGAAATGTTTGAGTCATTTAGCAGTGTGTGTAAATAAAGAGTAAGTTGCCATTAGCGAGCATTTTGTCGCTGTGTCACTCTCAGAACAGTTTCAGTTTCAATGTGTTCATGTTAACTAACGATGTTACCGATTAACTCCGTCAGCGAAGTTGTATTTTCCTGTGATCACTGTTTCAACACTGAAACACGCTTCATGTTCTCAACAATACAAACATTTTAAATGTGACGGAATCTTGTTTTCAGTGTCAGCTTCTGTGATTATCTGTAGATGCTATGTGTCATTAAAATTAATGATAGGTCTGTATCATCACTGAAGTTGCAGCTAACTCGGATACAAACCACCTGTGGTTTATTAGTATATCTTAGTCATTTTCACAGCAAGAAAAACATCTGATATTGAATTCACATCCGTTGAATCTTGAGCTTTGTATGTTAACCCCCACCATCTACGGAACAAGTTGAAATATGACTTCATGATTTGTTAGTAATATGATGTAGCAAGTACATTTTGTTGAATGTTAATGTTTGTTTGAATCACTTAGAAATCACCAAAACAAATTTCAAAAGATTACTTCTTCTCTTCATAGAAACACAGTTTTAGTCTCTGTTAAGTCAGTTGATTTGAAATTCTCAGTATTTTGCTGTTGCTGACCTCTGCCTGTAGGAGTGAACTATTCTGTTGTTAATCTTGATACTTTTCTTTCTGTGCAGGTGGGAATTAGAGGTAAAGACATTGTTGTCCTCGGTGTTGAGAAGAAATCCGTGGCAAAGTTGCAGGAAGAAAGGACTGTCCGCAAGATATGTGCCCTGGATGAGCATGTCTGCATGGCATTTGCAGGTACCTCGACACAATCTGTTTTCAACAACTGAATAATACTTTAATTATAGCTGCTTTCAGGCATGCACTGAACTCTGGAGGAGGTGCATATGTGAACGCAAATGTCTGAGTAAGATGCTCCGTAGTTTCTACAGACTTTATACGCCAGACTTCCTGGTATAAAGTCCGTAGAAATCCAGGAGAAGTCAATGTGTGAACACAGCAGTGGCTCCCTTGCTGGATTCACCCTAAGCGAGTTGGGGGGGGGTAATAATGCATCTAACATGTGACAGACACAAAATAAAACAAATATCTCCTGGGGAAAGAGCGGTCATACACGTAGAAGACACAGATGACGATGACGACAAGAGATGTGTGGTGATAAGAGCTGACGACAGTGTCAGGGTGCTGTAAACATGATCATGTGATCTCGGCACTTCCTGCCTCTGCCTGATGCACCCGGCTGCTCCACATCTAGCCTGACTAATGCGGAGGATTTGATGCTGTTGTGAACATGTCAATGCAGTGAACTTCCCACTGTGTTTCACGTGTGTGAAAGCCAAACTCTGGGTAAACTCCTTATCCAGTTCTCTGGATTTTACTCGTAGGTCTTGTCTGAAAACAGCTTATGTAACATCACATAGTACACCACACTTACTATTTAGTTGTCACAGCTCAGTTCAGACAGAGGACACCAAAGGCCAGTTGTCACAAATGCTACATCAATGCAGACTTCATTCATTTCCCTATTTAAGGACCTTTTTTTACATTGTCTTTCTTGTTGCATTTTCATTGTATGCTCTATAGCTATTTATTCTCTTTCAATATTTTAAGGTCTGACAGCAGATGCCCGTATTGTGATAAACAGAGCTCGGGTTGAGTGCCAGAGCCACAGGCTAACTGTCGAGGACCCAGTCACAGTGGAATACATCACACGCTACATAGCCACACTGAAACAGGTATTTGGCTTACTTACCATCAATGTGTTGTTTACTTTTGATTTACCATAACACAGTGGTAGGACTCCGCTTTCAGTCGGGGCAAATATTATTTTCTGCTTTTTTAAGAATGACTTGTCACATGAGTCTGTTTATTGGTCATATTTGTAGCGCTACACTCAAAGCAATGGCCGCAGGCCATTTGGCATCTCTGCGTTAATTGTTGGCTTTGATGACGATGGAACTCCCAGGCTGTATCAGACAGACCCGTCCGGAACCTACCATGCCTGGAAGGTCAGTGAATTTGCTTTGTCATGTTACACCTGTACAATAGTTGGTATAAAACAGATTAATTATTGATTTTTTTCTCTCAAAATATCAGGCAAACGCAATTGGCCGTAGCGCTAAAACTGTGAGGGAGTTCTTGGAGAAGAATTATACAGATGAAGCCATTGCTGGGGACAATGAGGCAATCAAGTTGGCTATCAAAGCTTTGCTTGAGGTAAGGTCAAATTTAGTCTCATTTAGTCATATTTTAATTTGTACAATTGCCATTAACTACATATGCTGATACTAAATAATTGCTAAGCTCTTTTACAGTAGGATTACCCTACTTCCATACAAATACTTGATACAAAGGCATTTTTCATGAGTCACAATAAAATTATGTAATGTGCTGTAGATATTGTCACTTCAGATGTAATAAAGTCTACCACAGCATGAGTTTAATGCAGGCCTGCATTTATTAAAGAGCAATACTTTGTCTTAGGTGTGAACCATAAAATGGGTTTACTCACATGAGGTATCTGGTTTTTCATAGGTTGTCCAGTCAGGAGGAAAGAATATTGAACTTGCTGTCATCAGACGGAATCAGCCACTGAAGGTGAGTTGCTGCATATTGTATCTTTTTATTTTCTCTACTACATTTGTTTTTTATCATTATAATAATTTACTCTCTCTGTTTGCAGATTTTGGAATCCAAGGAAATTGAGACTCTGGTGGCAGAGATTGAGAAGGAGAAGGAGGAAGAGGCAGAGAAGAAGAAGCAGAAAAAATCCACCTGAAGCAGTTAACTTAAGTTTTTCTTTGTTGCACTTGAATGACATTAGCATATTTGGGTTGCAAATATCTATGTTTTCAGAGGCTTTACTCTCATTTCTTTCATTATAAAGTGTTGAACCATAACTTGAGATCTTCAACAGCTGCAAAGAATTAGTAGTTCCTATACTTCAGCGAGTTGACTGATGTGTAGAAGCACATTCCCTGATCTCAAGTTAGGGTTTAGATCTTTAAACTGCACTTCATGGATGCTTTTATATCATTCACCAAACAGCTGTGATGGTGATGAACCGCAAATGTGGAGATAAACAGTTTGTAACATTCAGAATCATAACAAAACTTAATTCTCAATAAAAGCCGACTTGTTTGTAATTTGTTTTTGTTATTTATAAAAGTACTTACGAGAAGGTGTCTACTCACAAGACTTGAGTAATAATTGTCATTACTTGAGGTGCACAGACTGGTTTCTTCAAAATGAGACTAGAGGGACTTATTGATTATCCTACTGCAAAGCAAGTACTGCGATAAAGATAACTACAGTTTAAAACGCCACCAGCGGCAGTGTGGTGTGTGGCTATAAACGGCAATGTTTTTCATTTATCAGCATTCTGTGGCACCGGCCTATAAATGGGGGAGAAAGGTAGCTCAGGTTGCTTTATAAAGTGCTCACCTCTCCCTCAGTCATTTAAAACAAATTAGCAATGAGTGAATGAAGTGTCTAATGGTGGCCCAACGAGACCCCTTTTTTGCCTCTCCCTTTTTTATTTCACCCTAAATTCGCTTATCAAGCAACCACTGCTCTGAATTCTCAACGACACAATTATGGCCGGCGGTGTGGTAGGGCTGCTTAATGGGATCCTGGCCTCAGACCCCAGTGGGAACTTTCAGTGACTTTAATCTGGAGCCCTTTGAAAAGTTGTGCCGTGCTGTGCTGAAGAGCCCCGGGGTTCCCTCTGACTCTCACCAAAGACATAATGGTGAATGGTAAAGTCCTTCATTTAGAGTCATCTCCCCAAGCCAGGATTTCCTGAGTGGGTGCCCTGGCTGCCTTGACTTAGAGCATCGCACTTTGTCTGCAATTTGTCTGCAATTTGTCTTGTTTGTGAGTCTTATATGTTGGTGTTTGGGCTGATGTCAGAGGATCAATTAAGCCTCTTAATATTATTTCCCATACATGACGTCATGGAATCCTAGGAGGGCAGTAGAAAGAAAAAATTGGGCT